ATATCAAGTTGTGTTATATACCTGAAAAAAATATATTATGTGTCAATTATACCTCAATAAAAATTTTAATTTTGAAAAAACAAATAACAAAATATATGGTGTACTGGACAATTTTGAGTTGGTCAGTAAGACGGTAATTCAAAGAATTTGATATAGACTAATTTAGAAAATTAGTCAATCTTTGGCCCTAATAATTAGATGCTTTCCTCTGAATCTCAAAAAGAAGGACTAAAAGAGCAAAGAACATCTTCTGATTTAACAGCCTTCAGCACTAGATGGACATTGAGTGGGGAGGAACCTGTTTATAATTCTCACAGTGGTACACAAAATGTGGCCTATGATTCTAGTGCTGGCCCACGGACTGCTTCTTACCTTGTTACCAGGCTACAACTGTCTTCAAGAACCCTGCACCATGATGTAAATCAAACACTATTTAATTTAGTTGACTTTTTTCTCATAGCAAGATTTTTTCAATGAAAGAAGCACTGAATTGACATATTCTGGCACAAATTCTTTAACTTTTCACATACTTGTACTTGTGTCGCACTAGCCTGACAGGCTTAAGTCTTTGTCATCATCAAGGACTCCTTCTGTTCAAATGGTACCCTGAGCGGGAGACCCAGCAAAGCTGAGTCATAATCCAAGAGGACCCTAACACTGAGTCTAATCTGCCAGAAATATCCAGCAAGGAAGAAGGAGGATTGCTAGTCAGTACTCCTTTCTTCACTATTAAGTAGGCTTCTTTTCCACTTTCAAATGCCTAGTGTTAAAAGTATGCAATTTAGTTGAGCAATTTGGGGTAGGAAGAAACTAATAGGTATTCTTTAAACTTAACCCAATCCAGAAGCTATTCAGTAAAGAATTCAAGACACATAATTTGACACACAGTATGCTCACAATTGTGTTTTATACATGTGGAAAATTACTGAAAGGAAATATTCTAGCCAATACAATAATATGAGAGAGTATTATTTTTAAAAATTTCTATTTCAACTTCACCCTTAATAAAAGCCAGGCAAATTGTCCTGGTTGGTCTCCCTCCTTCAAGTTAATGAGTCCTATTGCATGGGTTGTAATTTCTTTGCTTCCTCATGGAGGTAGGTTCCTCAGGACACATTCAGGTCAAACATAGGGCTGTTGACAGTGATCTTGCAGGTGGTGAGAGTATGGTAGTTGTTATATGAGTGATCTGGTAACAAATGAGCTGGAGCATGGAAGGAAGCCTGTGTGTTCTTAGGCCTCCTTGCTCTCCAAACTACATTGCTGTGGAGCAACCAATCCAGTCTACCTTCCCCAGACCCTAAAAGCCTGTACCAGCTACAGTGTCTGGCCGACTTTCCAAAGATGATGCAAGAAATGGACAGGGCATATACCTTCTCAAATTAAGAGCAACCACCTTACCTACGGGTTGCCTGCAGCCTCAATTCTATACAAGTTCAGACATCTGCCAAGCTCCTTTAGGAAAATACACAAGAAGACAACAGTGACTGGACCATACATATAAATGATTACAGATTACAATTTTAGGAACACGTGTGTGTGCATGCATGCACATTTCTGATAAAGATCCAAGAGATTCATATTTTAAAATAGATTTTATGTATATTAAAATATCTCTTATTTCAATTGTGAAAATTCTGTCATGTCAAAATAAGTCACTGAAAATTCTATTTGGACCTGGGAGCAGGACTACCAGATTGGAAAAGTAAAAGTCTCAGCAAATACTCCGTCCAAAAAGGAATGATAAAACTGGACAAAATTGTTTTTAAAAAATAATAACCATCTCCAGGATCCTGGAAATTGACCAAAGGCATACATCAAATAAATGTTTATTGAAGAAAAATTACTAAACCTCAAGTAGGAACACTGATAGTCTGTGGCAGTTCAACTTAGGGCTGCTCTCATATCCCCCTTCTCCTCACCCTGGTTTCATCTGTGTCCACTTTCAGGGGGCTGAATTGATTTAAAGTGAAGCAAGGAAAAACTCCATACCCCCTAAGCAATGTCGCAAACAACAGTAATCTCAGTGCAAAAAAAAAAAACCCACAAAAAACTAAAACCAGCCAGCAACTCAGCTTGAGATTGTATTCGGGAGCAAGCAATAGATAGGCAGACTGGCCAGAAATTAATCAGGGAGATCAGGAAAAGGAGATAGCCATAGTGAACCATGATAACCTCCCAAATATCCCTTGTAGCCTGAAGGCTGAACACATGTACAAGGATAAACACATACTCAGGAGAGAGTGGAAAAGGCCCTCCCTATTTCCATATCCCAGGCTGTGAGGTCTTGTGCAGAAGAAATGCAAGAAGAAAACCCAGCAGAAAGTAAAAGCCAGGATAAACAGAAACTGAACTTGTCTGAACTTTGAATGCATCCTTCAATCCACACATGGGTCCATTAGTGAAAGTGGAAGCTTTACTAGATCACGGAATTTGAGTACAACCTCTGATCAATCGTTACCTAACCATTAGGCTATGCTAAACCAGGTGCAACCCTCAGGAAGCCAGACTTAAAATAGAAAAACGGCAACAACCAAAAAAAAGAAAAAAAAAATTGAGCAGAGACATCAATGGCTACCTACTGTGATAGAGACAGACTCTGAAGCAGGTTTCAGCAATGGCACTGTTGATAGTCTGGAACAGATAATTATCTGTTGCAGTGGGGTTGGAGTTCCTATGCTTATAGGATGTTTAGCAGCATCCTTGTTCTCTACCCATTAAAGTACGGTAGCATCTCCCCAATGTCATCATAATCAAAAATGTTTCCAACAATGTAAAACGTTGCTAATAAGCACATGAAAAGATATTCAATATCATTAGCCATCAGAGTATGCAAAATCAAAACCACAATGAGAAATCCCTTCACACTTACTAGGATAGCTATAATGAAAAATACAGACAGTAACAAGTGTCGATGTGGATGTGAAGATATTGGAATCCTCATACACTGCTGGTGGAACATAAAATGATGCAGCTGCTTTGGAAAACAATCTGGCAGTTCCTCAAAAAGGTTAAACATATACTTACCTTATCATCAAGCAATAACACTCCTGGACATATATCCAAGAGAAATGAAAACATATTCCACATAAAAATTTGTACACAAATGTTTATGGCAGCTTTATTCCTAACAGCCAATAAGTGGAAACAGCTCAAATGTCCATCAACCGATAAACAGACAAAATTCAGTATATACACTGGCATGGATACAATAGGTAAATCCAATTGAGTATATACAATGGAATATTATTCTGCAGTATAAAAGAATGAAGTATGGGTACATGTCACAACATGGATGAGCCCTGAAAACCTTGTTATGTTTTAAAAAAGCCAATCACAAAAGACTACATATTGTATGATTCCATGTGTAAGAAATATCCAGAATAGGTAAACCAATAGAGGCAGAAAGTAGATTAGTGGTTTCCTAAGGCAGAAAACATTGGAGGGCAATAGGGACTGATTGCTATTGGGTCCAGGACTTTTTTCTGGAATGATGAGACTATTCTAAAATGTTGTATAACTCTGTTTATATAGTAAAAATCATTGAATTGTATACTTTTTTTAAAAGTATGTATTATATTGAAAATAAGGGTTTAAATGGGAAAAAAAAAAAAGAATTAAGATGTTCATTAGAAAAATACCTATTTAGGGCACCTGGGTGGCTCAGTCGTTAAGCATTGGATTTGGCTCAGGTCATGATCCCGGGGTCCTGGGATCGAGTCCCGCATTGGGTTCCCTGCTCAGGGGGAAGCCTATTTCTCCCTCTCCCACTCCCCCTGCTTGTGTTCCCTCTCTTGCTATATCTCTCTCTGTCAAATAAATAAACAAAATCTTAAAAAAAAAAAAGAAAAGAAAATACCTATTTAACATAAAAGACAGTAAAGGAAGAAGACAGGACAAGAGAGACATCTGACATACAGAAAACAAATAGCAAATGGCTGATATAATCCAACCTTATCAATAATTACATTAAATATAAATGTATTAAACACTCCAATCACAAGGTAGAGATTATCTGACTGGATAAAAAGACAAGATCCAATTATATGCTGTCTATGAGAGAGATATTCTAGATTAAGACTCAAATAGGTTGAAAGTAAAAGGACAGAAAAAGATAGGCCATGCAAACAATAACATAAAAGGGATGGAGTGGCTATATTAATATCAGAGAAAACAGACTTTAGTGTCCTTTTGGTTTCAATTCCTCTGGAAAGCTCCCTAGGTAATTCTACTGTCCCAAGGATTAAGGCCAAGGTATAGAGAAGACAAAGCTAATAATGGCCAAAGGTAACACACAACCCTTAGGAATCCCTAAGGGAAAGGGAAGGATTAGGAGCATTTAGGATTATGGTTCCTTTTACTGGGGGGAGACTGGAGAAAAAAACTGCTTTTAATACCAATGAAACATAACTTACACTGATAAAGATTCTCTCCTTGACCAAACTCTAATCAGGCTCCTCTGAACAGTTTTTCAATTAGGCCTCAACTGTTGGGCTTCTGTGATCATCTCTGCATTGTTCAATTTTAGCAAAAGCCTGTTAAGTCAGTTTAACCAGAATCCCATCCTCAATATTTAATGAGGCTCCTTAACTTACAATATATCCCCCCAGATGATGCCTAATCAGTTTGGCCTGCCTTCAATAAAATATCCTGTTAGAATGGTTTAGCCAGAATCTTCCCTTAACCCTGATGTTTTCTTAGTAATTTTCCATACATTGACCCCTACCCTACTCCTTGGCTATAAATTTCCACTTTTCCTTGTATGTAGAGTTGAGCCCAGTCTGTCTTCCCTACCACAAAACTCCACTGTAGTAGCCCCTCTTAAATAAAGTCTGCCTTACCATCTTTAATATGTGTTATGAATAATTTTTTCTTTGACAACACCCATGCGGGTTGTTTCGTAAGCTAGTGTGGCTTAAGGAAACACACAGAGACACACACAGAACAACTGGCTCATTTATTTCATTTTTAGTATTCACTCATAATAAAAGTTATCTTACCGCCTGTAATCTTTGAGCATGGTATTCTGCTGCCGAAAAATATTTTCCTGGTGTTATCAGTTTATCAGTCATATTTGATACATACACACCAATTTTAGTCATCTGTGTGGATGTTGTATTTGTAGTCTGTTGGAGCTTTTTTCTCTGAAAAACTGTCTAAAATAAAAACATAAAAATTTAAATACCCACTATATACACATCTAAGTGAGTGAAGAGCACATTTTTCTGTGTTCAGTTATTTTTCTATTATTATTTGAACTACCATATAATTCCTTGGAAGATTTTAACTTAATTTTTTAAGTTTTTATTTAAATTCCAGTTAGTTAACATACAGTGTAATATTAGCTTCAGATGTACAATATAGCGATTGAACACTTCATACATCACAACAAGTGTACTCCTTAATCCCCATTACCTATTTATCTATCCCCTCACCCTGTCCCCTCTGATAAACATCAGTTTGTCCTCCATATTAAGAGTCTGTTTTTTGGTTTGCTTCTCTCTCTCTTTTCCCCTTTGCTTGTTTGTTTTGTTTCTTAAATTCCACATATGAATGAAATCACATGGTATTTCTTTCTCTGATTTATTTCGCTTAGCATAATACTCTTTAGCTCCATCCACATCATGGCAAATGGGGAAATTTTTAATTTTAGAGAGGTACACAGAACATTTGTTGATTCTGCAGTTTCAAAACCTACAAATAAAAATAAAAATATTACCTGGGTATCCCTACAAAATACATTGTCTTTTTCGGGAATCTTTTTAGGTACAGTTTGTGTTCCAGCATTGTGATATTCTATTCCTGTTATTTTATGTCTGAATCCACCAAGAAATGGTTTGTGAAAGTCAGATTTTATAATCTCAACAGCTACCTCCTGGTACTTAGTAATACCTAAGGAGGTAAAACCAAGATTGAATGAAAGTTCACCTACAAAGGGACTCTAAAATACTTTATCTAAAAGACATTGCATAACTAACCAGTTTGTACTCTGACAGTTATGATTTGAGAGGCATCATTTAATCCATGTATTCTTTTGATTGGAAATAGATCTGGATCTGTAGAAAAAATTTCCACTTGTACAATATCTTGTGGCTTAACTCCATGTTGCAGTAGAATCTCATTATTTTTAAGAATCATTCCTAAAAATGACATGAAATTAGAAGTGTTATGACAAAGAAATAACTATACATACTCATTTTAAGGGGATGGAAAACGTCAAAGATGATTATATGAACACATATAGTTCAATTACTGAATAGAATATTGATGATGTCCACCCCTTGCTGAAATGTTAGTACAGAAAACACCACAACGGGAAAAGTTAAGTGCAAGAATTCAGCATTATAAGTAAAGCTACAACGCTCACAGGATTTCTCATCAGAAATACAAATACATAATAAACCATGCAACTCTGTAACTATTTAAAAATAAAAAACATACTCTATGAGCATACTCTAAACATTGACTCTCTAAAAAATCACAATGTGTTATATGTAAATACAGGCAATATCTATATCAGGGAAAATTTGATTATTTTCATACCCATTCCTCTCTCCAGTGCAGAAAAGCATATACTCAGAGTTCCATCCTTCCCTTTCTGTTTCTACACCAGGAACTCATGTAAATAAATTCATGAAAAAGTGGAGTTAAGCCTCAGGTTTGTGCTGGAAAAAGTGTACATCACTTTATTTCTACATTATTTTATATCTTTTTTAATTCTCTCTCCTTTCATTGGTTTATTCTGTAAATTTACTCAAAGTTTACTTATCTATTTTAAGGAATACAAAACTATGTATAATGTTATTGGCTGCTGTTTTGATAGAATCTCTATCACTCTTCCAATGCATGGTCTTCCTAAATTACAATTAGTAATTTGGACATAGCAAAGATTTTGTTACACTCGTTCTTAGAAATATATCAGATACCACCAGTCTATTTTAGCTATGTTTAAGAAAGCACAAAGATCCATGAGTTTCAATTTCACACCCCAAATTCTTAACTTAAAAAATTAACATGAATATTATATGGACTATGTGATAGGTTGCCCCAGAATATATCCATGTCCTAATCCTCTGAACCTATTAATGTTAATTTATATAGCAAAGATGACTGCAAATTTTATTAAGATAAAAATTTTGAGATGGAGGGGCGCCTGGGTGGCTCAGTTGGTTAAGTGACTGCCTTCAGCTCAGGTCATGATCCTGGAGTCTCGGGATCGCGTCCCACATTGGGCTCCCTGCTCAGCGGGGAGTCTGCTTCTCCCTCTGACCCTCCCCCACTCATGCTCTCTCTATCTCATTCTCTCTCTCAAATAAATAAATAAAATCTTTAAAAAAAAAATTTGAGATGGAGAGATTATCCTGGATTATCTAGGTGGGTCCTAAATGTAATCACAAATGCCCTTAGAGAGGAAGGAAGGGAGATTTGATTACAGAGGAGAAGATGATAAAACAGAAGCAGAGAGAGATTTGAAGATGCTCTGCTGCTTGCTTTAAAGAAGGAGGAAGGGGCCATGAGCTAATGAATGCACGGTGTACAACTCTAGAAGCTGGAAAAGACAAGGGAGTAGATCCCCCCAGAACCTCCAGAGGGAGAACAGCCCTGCCCACATGTTGGTTTCATCTCAGTGAAACTGATCTACGATTTCTGGCATCCAGGACTATAAGAGAAATCATTTAAGTTATTAAGCTTGTGGTTAATCATTGCAACAGCCATAGGAAACTAACATAGATTCCCAGAGCCCTCTTCATTCCTCTAGTTTGTACAGTAGGCTTAGTCCCACCAAATTTGAACTCCAATTCTAGTACTAGAAAAAAACACCTGTGTTAGAGAGCAGTTGACATAGAATCAAGCTCTTTTATTATCATGGCTGACATTAGCCTGTTACCTAGTGGTGATGACTGGCACCTACACATAAAGGTTGGTTATGAAGTACAAAGAACAGAGAGTCTCAGGTACCACTGGCTAGCTACTCCAGTCTCAAAGTGCTCTCTCTTCTCCAATTTTGAACTTCATCTTATAGTTAATGCCAAGCAAGCAGTTTGAAATTCCCTTTTGGGAGTCATACCTATATTTAAGTTCAGATTCTACCACTCATTAGCTGTGTGAATTTGTACAAGCTTCCCAAGCTGTAGTTTCCTTCTTTCAAAAAAAGTTAATAATAATACCTACCTCACTGTTGGTTGTTGTATGGACTGAATGATAATGTGATAATGCAGGCAAAACATTTTGTAGATGGACTAGCACAGAGTACATCTCAACAAATTAACCATCATGAATGTTATTACTAATAACTATTTAAATTTTAGCGCTGTTTCCCGACCCAAGCTTTAATAATCAGTTGTTTGAATACATGAGCATCTTAGTATTACAGCACATTCATTATAATAGTTTTCTAAAAATAATTTTGAAATTGAACTGATTGTTTTCTCTGATTTGACGAGGAGGAATTTAATAGGTATGGCTTACTCCTTTTTAGTGTTTAGGATTTTCCTACAAAAAAAAAATGTTTTTATTTCCCTGGAAAATTTTTTGTGGCATCTTTATAAGTTAATACCAAAACTTCAAAACTAAAATATTAGCATCTGTGCAGACATATTCTATAGAAACATTTATTTAGCTATGTTGCTCTCGCTCACTCTTTCAGTTACAAGGACTACGTCCTCTCGTGACACAAGGCTACCTTAAAGTGGGCTGCTCAATACTGCCCATAAAATATAAGTAAACTTGGACACCATGGGAATGTGAATTGACCTCAGTGTATAAAGACTGATAGATAAACCATTTTTAGTCCTTTTCTTATTCTATACATACTCATTCCTCATCAACTTCTTTTAACCTCATTGTCTCCCACTCCCCACACAGAATCGACTTCTAGCCGCTCTAAGCTTCTTACAACTTCACCCAGAGTCCCAGATTTTCTCACCTCTTTGGTACTTAGCACAAATATTATCACTTTTATTAAATGAAGCATTCTAGACTCTCCCAGTTTCTTTCCTCTCTGTTCTCCACAGTTTTTTGTGCATATCTCCATTAAAACATTTACACATTATGTGGTAACTATTGCATACATCATCTTTCTGACTAGTCTGTAAACAATTTGAGAGCAAAGATTTTGTTTCATGTTTCTTTACATCTTCAGTTCTTAGCTAAGTATTTAGAACAAATATGTCCTCAATAAAAATGTGTTGAATGAATGCATAATCACAATATAATGTTCAAACAGTAGATATCAATATATTTCATTTAACAAATCAAAGATCTTGATTATTTACAGGATAAAACCAAAGAAGTCTTAGTAAGTTTTATTAGCTTCCAAGCTTACCTGAATATCTTATCTGCAGTACATTAGATGGGATCTTCAGTAGGTATGAAAAATGATCCTTGAGGTATTTTACAATGATGTCTATTTTAAAAGGCATTATAATTTCCTGGCCCAGAGGAAAAAGTACAACTTTTACTGTATATAAAAAGAGAAAAGAAAGAACCATAGTCAAAAGCAAGGGTCAGCAACCTACAGTCCATAAGCAGATAGAGAATGATGGAGCAATTTTTAGTCACATAGAATGCAGACTGCCTTTGCCATGTTCCCCAACTGCACTTCCATGGTAAGAGTTACTTTTTAATTTCTATGAGAAGTGACACTCAGATTTTCTTTTGCAGATTAATCCAGAATCTCAAGAATTAGCATCAGTGGTCAGTACCTGTTCCCCCATCCCCAGCTTCCAGTTCCGATCTTTTTTCTATTCGCTGCTCTGAGGATCAGTGCACGTTCAGGATCACCTCTTCGCTCAGAATACCACAAGAAATAGGAAATAAAACTAAACTGCTTTTCAAGAGTCCCAATATTTGGTATTATACGGGTATTAATTGGTACTAATCTGGTATTGGTATCTGGCATTATATTACTCAGATATAAATATAGGAACATTTCAGAAAAATCAAGCATTTTTGTGTACTGAGCATTGGGACAAGAGACCCAGTGACCTAGAGAGTGTCCCTGAAGTTATGATGTGCATGTGCATTCTTTGATTACATATTGATAGCATGCGTCAGTAAAGCAATGCATATTCATGAAATTAAGAAAATCCAATAGAGAAATTTTCAAAGAAAAAGGTATCTAAGGGGCGCCTGGTTGGCTCAGTCATTAAGCGTCCGCCTTTGGCTCAAGTCATGATCCCAGGGTCCTGGGATCGAGCCCCGCGTTGGGCTCCCTGCTCCACGGGGAGCCTGCTTCTCCCTCTCCTACTCCCCCTGCTTGTGTTCCCTCTCTCTGTCAAATAAATAAAATCTTAAAAAAAAAAAAGAAAAGAAAAAGGTATCTAAGTCCATTCTTCTTCCCATAATTGATTTATGTCTATAGTTATCAAAATGTAAAACAGAAAATCACTGTTCATTACAAATATCTAGAATAACTACATACAAATCTACTTTTCACAAAAATAGACATTATGTGGTTCACTACCCATTCTATAAAATAGAAAATCAAGGCATTTACATGTTGATAATAAAGAAACACTTTTTAAAAGCTTATTATAATGGGGTAAATTTTCTTCTTTTACATCTACAGACTTTAAATTTTAATGGAGAAGATGTAATAAGTAAGATGTAAGAAGTGAGTAATAAGTAAGATGGAGGGCAGAGTGTACACTGTTGGCAGAAAAAGTTTTGTATATTTCTAGATTCCTAATACATGAAAATTTTCATAAAGCTAAATGAGACATTTATCAATAATCCCAGAATAAAATTTAACTAGGCATTGTTGATGCTGAGGTTCTTTGAGATTGTTAAAACTTATTTTCACAGCTATCAACAAAGAAAATACTCTCATAGATGTTAAATTATCAGAAAGCTATTTCAGTTGTTTTATAGATTCAAATTTCTATGATTAATATATTTTAACATTTTCATAGCAGTGACTTCCTAAGCTTTGGGAAGGGGAGGTGTGTGAAGGAATTTGTGAGCTTCAGAAGGTACAGGACCAAGACAACTTTATTCTAATCACCATGTGCTTGTTATATACTACAATATCAGGCAATCACAGAAATATCAAAAAATGGAGCCCAGGGGGTGCCTGGTTGGCTCAGTCAGTAAAACATGTGACTCCTGATCTCAGAGCTGCAAGTTCGAGTCCCACATTGGGCATAGAGATTACTTTAAAAAACAAACAAACAAACAAACATGTCTTCTTGACTGGATTATTTGTTTTTGGGTGTTGAGTTTAGTAAGTCTTTATAGATCTTGGATACCAAGGGGAACCCTCTTACACTGTTGGTGGGAATGCAAGCTGGTACAGCCACTCTGGAAAACAGTATGGAGGTTCCTTAAGATGTTAGAAATAGAGCTACCCTACGACCCAGCAATTGCACTACTGGGTATTTACCCCAAAGATACAGATGTAGTGAAAAGAAGGGGCACCTGCACCCCAATGCTCATAGCAGCAATGTCCACAATAGCCAAACTGTGGAAGGAACTGAGATGTCCTTCAACAGAAGAATGGATAAAGAAGATGTGGTTCATATATACAATAGAGTATTACTCAGCCATCAGAAAGGATGAATACCTACCATTTGCATTGACATGGATGGAACTGGAGGGTATTATGCTAAATGAAATAAGTCAAGCGGAGAAGGAAAATTATTATATGGTTTCACTCATATGCAGAGGACCCATAGGGGAAGGGAAGGAAAACTGAATACGAAGAAATCAGAGAGGGAGACAAGCCATGAGAGACTCTGGAGGCTGGGAAACAAACTGAGGGTTGCAGAAGGGAAGGGGGTGGAGGGATTGGGTAACTGGGTGATGGGTATTAACCAATAATGCAAGACAACAACAATTTTTCCAAAGCTAAATATAAAGCTAACCCTAAGCAGAAGAATGGAAATATGTAAAAGTAACAAGATATGAAGAAAGAGCACTGGATATGAAATTAGGAAATCTGGAGTCAAGTTCCATTCCAACTCTTTCTTGCTAACTATGAACAATTAATTCCAAAGAGGCATGCAAAAGAATTACAATTATACTCAAAAATTTGTCCATTTTCCAAGGTCCCTAAACATTTTAAAAACCTACTTTATTTAGAAAAAAAATGGATCAATATCAACTTAAAATTTAATGGTATTCATCTATTTAGGGAAAATAGTACAGAATAGAGTACCTTCACACTTAATTAAGAGATCAAGTGGCAGTAGCTACAGAAGTTTGGTGGATAAAGGAAAGGGAAAGTAATCAAATCTTCAAGCAAAACAAATCTGAAAAAGCTACCATTCTTCAAAATGAGGAAAAGAAATGCCTATCTTCCCTAGGTAATACCTGTTGCTAAAGGATCTTTCACTGATGCTTTCAGAGATTCCTTTATGGCCTTTATCTTATCCAGAAATGCCAGGGATCCAGCATTTGAATACCGTTTGCCTAACTGCATTGCATTATCATCTTTAGTTACATAGTGCTCTGTAGAATTTCTGGGAGAATATGAAACTTGTTTGGGCAACAAAGCTTCTTCCATGAGTTGTTCTTCATCTTCTGGTTCCACATTTGATAAGCTCTGGTAACTTTCCTCATTAACATATGTTGTAGGGCCCTCACTGGATGGTTCAACTTCAGATTCATTATCTTCTGTTTGATCTGACTCTGGAAACTCTTCTGAGGGAACTGGAATACTGATAATCTCAAAAGCATCTTCATTTTCTTCTGATGCATTAACAACATTCTGAGAATCAAATTCTTCTTCCTGATCAGACATTTTCCTGAACCAAGAAAAATAAATACATTTACTACACATAAAAATTTCTACACCAAATATCAAATTCATTGGTGGTATACAGCAATGTTCGTAACATACTGCAATGTTGCTCATTATTTTTTTAAAATACTGATTATTTTAGTAATGGCATCAGGAAAAAGCATTGGTGAATTTTTAATAAAAACACCACAGAAAGTAAAAATTATACCAAAAGAGAACCTCAAAACACAATCAATTTGAGAAAAATCTACTGTCTAGAATATACTGAAAAGTATTTTAAAATATATTGTCACCTCTTCCTTATTCAAAGAACAATGCCTTGTGAAAGGACTTATTTGAATAGCTTTTTTTCCTGAATACAAACTAACACAGGATTTATGCTTCTGGGATTACAACTGATTAGAAGCTCCAAGGAATCTGCCAGCTCCACAGCAACCATACCCTGGATAGCGTCACTCTCTGCAGTAGTTTTGTTCTCACAAACTGTAGCAAGACTCCAATGACCTTTGTTCCCCAAAACAAACACATCAACAAACAAATGTGAGTTGCTCTTGGAGCTGACTGGGGCCTGAGGCACAGCAACCAAGAGCTTTGGCTTGGGAGACAGTATGACAGTATCCAGGACTGGGGCCAGAGTGGGCTAGGGCAGCCAACAGCCAGGCTGCAGGGGCAGGAACTGGATCAGAGCACTGAGGAGCCCGGTACAGCAGGGAGCCTAAGTATAGAAGCTGGCAGCCAGGAAGGGAGGATAGAAGTGGCCTTGAGTCATATTTCTGTGGCAACAGCAGGGGCTGATAAAAATTTAGAACAGTATTGAGGTGGGAAAGCTGTGTTTGGGCTAACAAATTAAGCACAAATCCTTATAGAGAGAAAAAAAATAACCTTAGTGAAGTTCTCTGGCTACAAGATGACAAATTTCCAAAAATGTGGAATATCTGGAATAAAAATATGTATTTGTTGAATTCAATGAATATAGCATTAGAGTTGAAGAGAGAATTAGTAAACTAGAAGATAAATAAAAGGATTTTATATAGAATGCTGCAAAGAGATAAGGATATGAAAAATATGAGAGATTAAGGGCCATGCAAAAGAGAAAAACTCTAGCATATTTTACTGCTAAGTATATCTTGCTGTGAGCTGAGAATGGTTTTGTACTTTTAAAATAAAAAAATAACAAAGAATATGCAACCAAGACTATATGTGGCCTGAGAAGCCCTTTCCAAAAAAAGTCTGCCAGCCCCTGATCTACTGTATGCCAAATTGGAATCCCAGAGAAAACAAAAAGATAGAAGAGAGAAAATATTTTTAAAGGTGATGGCTGAGAATTTTACAAAACTGATGAAAAATATGGATCCAAAGATCCAAAAGGCATAACATAAATATAAGGGATACCCAATGGGATAAGTAAAAATAATTCAAAGCCATATACACTGTAATTACATTACAGAATAACAAAGAGAAGGTCCAGAAAGCATATAGTGATAAAGGACATATCATCTACTGTTTTGAATGATATTAATTTGCTAACATTAATACAAAGGAAAGAAAAGTAAAATCACTGCAGATTTCTCACCAGAAATATAGAAGCCAGGGTAACAATGGAATAATTAAAAGAAGATAACTATCAACCTAGAATTGTGCACCTAGCAAAATTCTCTTTCAAGAAAGAAAATAGAAATATTTGCAAATAAGTTACCACCAAATACCTGCTCTAAAGAAAGTTCTAAAGGATACACTTGAAGGAAGAGGAAAATGGGCTCAACAGAAGTCCAAAGTGCAAAAGGAAAGGTGAACAAATAAATTATAAACATACGGGTACACACAAACAAATACTGTCAACACAAAATAATAGTAGAAAACTGAAATATTAGACAACAAGAATATGTAATTGGGAAGGGAAAGATAGAGTGAACTGTTCTCAAATTCTTATAGTGTTTACAAAATTGAGGAATATGATATTCTTTTTTTTAATTTTGATAATTTATTTTGTTTATTCTATAATATTTAATAGTATCATTTCAACATGTAACCAGTATGAAAAGATTATTAGTGAGATGTTATGCATTCTTTTTTTTCTTTCTGAAGATTCAGAATCAGTATTTATTTTATACTTACAGCGTATCTTTTTTTTTAATATTCTTTTTTTATTATGTTAATCACCATATATTACATCTTAGTTTTTGATGTAGTGTCCCATGATTCATTGTTTGCGTATAACACCCAGTGCTCCATTCAATACGTGCTCTCTTTAATACCCATCACCAGGCTAACCCATCCCCCCATCCCCCTCCCCTCTAGAACCCTCAGTTTGTTTCTCAGAGTCAATAGTCTCGCATGGTTCATCACCCCTCCAATTTCCCCCCTTTCATTTTTCCCTTCCTACTATCTTTTTGTTTTTTAAAAAAAAAAGTATAATGTATTATTTGTTTCAGAGGTACAGGTCTGTGATTCATCAGTCTTACACAATTCACAGCGCTCACCATATCACATACCTTCCCCAATGTCTATCACCCAGCCACCCCAGCCCTCCCACCCCCCATCACTCCAGCAACCCTCAGTTTGTTTCCTGAGATTAAGAATTCCTCGTATCAGTGAGATCATATGATACATGTCTTTCTCTGACTGACTTATTTCGCTTAGCATAATACCCTCTAGTTCCATCCATGTTGCTGCAAATGGCAAGATTTCGGGGTGTTTTTTTTTGATGGCTGCATAATATTCCATTGTATATATATACCACATCTTCTTTATCCATTCATCTGTTGATGGGCATCTTGGCTCTTTCCATACTTTGGCTATTGTGGACATTGCTGCTAAAAACATTGGGGTGCACGTACCCCTTTGGATCACTATATTTGTATCAGAGATATGATATTCTTAACCCTAGACTTTGTTAAATTAAATAGGCATAGCTGAATTTCAAGTACAACCAATGAAAAAACTGAAATAAAGTTTTACACTTCCAAAATAATAAAGAAAAAAGCAAAATTAGAAAAAAAAACTGAATAAAAACAATTTTTAAAAAGCTCAAGAAACCTCTTCAGGTTCTCACCCACAAAAAATTTTCCTTTTCGCTATTTTCTCCTGTAACAGGGCTTAATAGTCTGATTAGAGAGAGAGCATCATAAAGAAGCCCTGACTCCTAGCAACATACTCATCCCACCCCTTTGGAGAGGCTGAGGTAATGTTTTTGTTACTATCTGGTGGGTCATCCTCCCCGCAAATGGCCAAGATGTCATCTTCTAAAACAGCAACAAAATCAAGAATGTCTGCTCTTCAAAAAACATAACTAGAATAATAAAAAGACAAATCATAGCCTGGGAGACAATTTTTTGGACCAAGGACTTGTAACCAGAATATATAGAGAACTCTCAAAACTCAATAAGAAAAGAGTAACAGTTTAAAAATGAGTAAAATAGTTAACAGGTAAGTCAACAAGGAGTATATACAGAAGGCAAAGAAGTGGGGCCAGGACTAGAGTGGCACAAGTGTGACTTGTGTGCACTGAGCCACACTTGCAGGTGCACCTGAAGTTAAATGCCTCCTCAAATTTGGAGCCTAGTTGCCTCAATTGCCTCAGTCTAGCCCTGGCCCCGAAAACAAGCACCTGGAAAGATGCTCAGTATCATTAGTTATTAAAGAAATGCAACTTCAAATACATATTTTTAGCCCAACAATATCAAGTGCTGCTGAGTATGTAAACAAGTGGAACTCATAGCTTGATGGTGGAAATGAAAATTGGTACAGCATTTGAAATAACTGTCAGTTTTCTTATAAAATTAAACATACACGTATCATATGACCCAGCAATCTATGTTTTTTACCCAGACAGAATGAAAAACTACATTCATACCAAATTTGCACACAGAAGTTTATAAAGCCTTTATTCTTATTCACCGAACTCTGAAAACAACACAAATGTTCCTCAGTTGAGGCATGGATCCACATACTAAGAGACATTCACAAAATGGACTACTACTCATCAATAAAAGGGAATAAACTATTGATACGACCTGGGTGAATCTCAAATGAATTATGCTAAGCCAATTCTAAAAGCTACATACTTTATGATTCAATTAATGGGAAAAGCAAAGCTGATGGTTCACAACCTCTAGAGTTCTCTAGGGTAAAATCCGATACTGAGCTCCAAACACGGACTGCAAGGAGAAACCAAAGAAAGAGGCAGCACTCCAGACTGGTAGGTGGCAAGTTTAATAAGTGAGGGAACTTACACACAAAGCTTATCTTTGGCAGCTGCAAGACAGTAGATCTCTGGACCCACCAGCCAGAATCTTAAAGAGTTTATATAGAGAGGCCTTTACTGGGTTCAGTCAGGAATCCAGTCTAGATGGTCTCAATAGCACATTACTCTCTCAAGGCTAGATCCTTGAAGCAGCCCCTAGCCCTGGGGCTTTGGGTGGGAGGTCCATTCTAAGGACAGGGGAGGAGCCTGTGATTGCCCCAGTTCAGTTCACTGGTCAACCAGCAATCACATCTCCTCCATGACTGCCTCCAACAAAAACACATGCCAATAGCACGGAGGACCATAGGGGAAAGGTGGGAAATCTGAAGGGGGAGAAATCAGAAAGGGAGAAGAACCATGAGAGACCATGGACACCAGAAAACAAATTCTGGGTTTCAGAGGGGAGGGCGGTGGGGGGATGAGATAACAGGGTGATGGGTATTAAGGAGGGCACATGTTGTGATGAGCACTGGGTGTTATAACTAATGAATCACTGAACACTACATCAAAAATTGATGATGTACTATACAGTGGCTAACTGAACATAATAAAAATAAAATAAAATAAAATAACACATGCCAGGAGCTACCATGTCACAGGTGCAACTAGATATTTGTATAGGGATAGAATAACTGTGGAAGATAAAGGGCAGACGGGAGGACACGGGTGTAAAACAGATTTTCACTGCACATTCATTCTTTTTACTGTTTGAACTTTCATGTTTACGTTTACCTATTCAACTGTAAATGTTTTAATCTTAAAAAATTGTTCAAAAAGCAAAAAGCAGTCCCTATTATGATTGCATACCAAAAATGTCCCTCTTTCACCAACAATGCATGATTTCACTGATGTATCTAGAATGTTAGTGTGACTAGTAAGGCAGGGATCCAGTTTTGCCTTCTACCAAATAAACCTGTTGAATTTTTAAGTTTTTTTGGAGGCACGGCAAAGACCATGGGAGGAGAGGAGAGTGCCAAGGAGGAACGTGTGAAAGCCCTCTATTTACTAGACTGGAAATGTCACCACGGATGTCTACACGTCTTCTAATGCCAGATCTGGGTTACACAGACGTCTTACTTCTTTACTATCACTGTGATAAGCACTCCGGGTGGGAGATGAGGTACACCTCCCACCTTGATGCTGCTGCTTCCGAACCCCAAATCTGAGATACAGAACCAGAAAAGGAACCAAGAAAAATGGGATGCTTTGCACAATTTCTGAAGTAGAGGTGGGACATTCTCCATCAGCCACGCAGTCCCCAGAGCTCAGGCGGGACAAGCGCCCCGCACAAAGTTCTGGGAGTCCAGCGCCGTAGTCCCCGGTTCAAGGCCGGTCTGGGGGTGGGGCCAGGAGAAGGCAGCCCAAACCTGTCCTCCTACCTGACTGAGAAAAGCAGCTACTCGGGTCGCAGAGGTTTCTCAGGAAGCGCTCGGAGGAAGCGGCGTCCGCGCCCGCCTTCTTCTGTGTTGCGGCTATATCCTAGCAACGACCCTGGAGCCACCTCCTCCCGCCAGGCTCAGGTCCCGCGAGAAGAGGCGGTGCTCTCGCTGGGAAGAAACGCAGGGGAGGAAAGGGGCGGGGCCAAGGGGAGAGCGGCGGGGGGAGCAGTGAGGCAGAGGGAGGGGCGGGAGGAGGAAGGCGGCCGGGAGGGCGGTCCGGTTCAGGTTACCTATCCCAAAGTGAATGGGACGCTCCTCTCCAAACTCCCTTACACTTGTGAACGGCACAGTTCTCTGAACCAAACGCTGACAGCAATTTGGCTTAGATATAAAAGATCGGGATTGGCGAAAATGTAAATATAAAGTGAGAGTGAAGACCTTGACAGAGGAGAACACAGTTGTACACAGTAGGTGCCTACTTGCATTTATTAAGATTAGAACTTGGCTCTTAGCTTCCTGGCAGCCAAAGAAAAAAGGGAGACAGGAGCTATTCCCTTTTTTAAGTCAGGAGAAGCAAAACTTTTGTTAATCACGGAATTATAAAGGTGTTTTTCTATCACTATAAATTATTTAAGGTTTTTAAAGAAGCACGTTATTGGGGAAAAGGATCAATTATGTTCCTATTGCAAATGTAGTGCTAACTATCATGTGGCTTCATAATAATAGCTAATATTAAGTATTACTTGTTACTAAGCACTTCACATATATTTCTAATTTAATCCTTAACAAGGATTTTATTGATTAGCCTCATTTTACCAATGAGGAAACTAAGGCTCAGAGAGGTTTAGTCAGGGAGCCAGGATTAAACCCAAGCAGTCTGATTCCAGAACCTCGATTTTAAACCACTATTTTATGCTGTTTGATTTAACACCCTTTGATATTTAAAAAGCATGTAAGATTAAGTGATGAAAATTTTTGTTGTCTATAGTACGTCCATTCTTCCTTCATAATGTTCATTGCCTTCATTCATTTATAGCATTCTGCTCAAATTGCATTCTCATCTCCCCAATAACTTCCTAATGTCCAATTTCATTTTTGCCCAATGTCCTCATCCCATTTTATGACAGATTTCTTACCAGAAGAATATAAAATATGCATTACATTCTCAAATACAAGTCTTTAATAATGGTTTTAAATAAAAGCAAATGTGTTTAAATCACTTCATGAATCCACCATTCATAAAGAGCAGAGAAAAGAGGGGGAAGCATTCATATAACTGCTAGGGTTAGTCCTTCACGGGCAAACCAGGTAAATCATAATGTATCTTAAATTTTATTAGTAATGAGAATTCCATTGGTTTTAAAAACACTCACCTTTCTGGGTCTTCTCTTTAAAATGTATCATTTGCTGTCCTCAATGTTAGGGACGGTATGAAAAAACTGGGTTTAAGCATACAGGCAAGAGATGGAGGGAAGAAAATCTGGTGGTAGAGAACTTTAAGTACTTCCCAGTGTTAAATGTGACTTGATAACCACTGTATGTTCATATTTTATTTATAGTTGGCTGTAGAGATGATCTTATACAACTCAATCTTAAAATAATGAGCCTAACTTAATTGGTAGGTTTCTGAGGTAGTGTCTGCAGGTGGAAATGGTTATTACGTATCAAAATCACACACACACACACACAACCCAAACACACACACATATATACACACACACACACACAAATATATAGTTGTTTGGTTATACAAAATAAATGTGAATGCAAACTGAAAACCAATAGGAAAAAGACTCTCAATTCTGAAAGTGGTAATTTTTAAATTTCATATTTTACTTTTCACAATAAACTTATGCATTTTCTCAGGATTTAGTGCCCAAAATGACTTATCTTTATTTTTCATGAAACATCTACCTTTATCTCAGTATTTATTTATACAATAAGTATTTCTTTAAATGCGCTTTTATTTCTATAAAGATGCCACCTAGTGGCTTTATGAAATCAAGCATCTCAAAGTATTTCCCATTGTTACTCCAAGCTAAAATGTATTTTGATATAAATGAATGAATGAGAGAAAATATTAGAAGAATTTAGAAAACCTGAAAATAATGCTTTTGGACTAAATTTGGATCATACCTCTATGACCTTGTTAGGAGACTGTATAAATACAGATCTATAGTCCCTTTTCTGAAACCTTAACAGACAGATGTGAATTAATTCAGATTTTTGAAAGGTAATATGGGCATATACTGTATATTCTGTAATACTGTCAGTAGGTCTGGGGAAGTAGTCCAGAATCAAATACATTAAGAATTCTGTGGCAAAAATATATTCATATTCACACTAAAGTGAGATAAAGACCACAAATAGCTTTATGTTAAGTCAGGTCAGATTTTGCTTCCAAATGAGTTATCAAAAAAGTTTGATTTTACCCAGTTATAGAAAGAAAGAGTAAAATGAAATATTCTGTCATAAAATGGTAATGTTTATCTTTAGAAATGCCTAAAAAAGGGGCGCCTGGGTGGCTCAGTCGTTAAGCATCTGCCTTCGGCTCAGGTCATGATCTCAGGGTCCTGGGATCGAGCCCCGCGTCGGGCTCCCTGCTCAGTGGGGAGCCTGCTTCTCCCTCTCCCACTCCCCCTGCTTGTGTTCCCTCTCTTGCTGTGTCTCTCTCTGTCAAATAAATAAATCTTTAAAAAAAAAAAAAGAAGTCATTGGCCTTGATTAACAACAACAAACATTAAAAAAAAAAAAATGCCTAAAATGTTCACCTGAAAAAAAAAACACATATTTGAAGATCATGAGAAATCCCAAAAAACAATCTCTGCAATGCTTCTCATTTAGTCATATACAGAAAGAAGCTAATCCATCATAAATTCCATTTAAGAACACTACAAAAAATTAGCTACTAATATAAACTTAAAGATCACTTTGGGAAAACTCATTATTAGCAATGCATGGCAAGCTAAATGTATGAGTTTTAAAGCACATTCAAAAATTGTTTCCTTTTTTGCTTCTGCGTGTGATTGGTATGTTCCCTTTCCCCTGCCCTATGGTTATGGAAGCATGTGTTGAGATGGCATCATCCTCAGCCCAGATCCCTTATGTGACTCTTTTGAGAACTGTCAACCCTCATTAGGCATGTAATATGAATAAGAAACAAACTTCTGTTGTGTTAAGACATTAGGATTTGGGGGTAGCCTATTCTAATTCACTATTTTTCTCACTACTTTCCTTCACTAACTAGAGTTTGGGCTTATTCCCTCTAAATACTTTAAATTTCTCCAGTCCCCATCAGTAATTTAAATCACGTATCACATTTCCACTTCGATTTCTTGTGAACTCTATTAAAAATAAACCTCTTCATCCCCCTGTAAGCCAAACTTCTATCTTCTCATTTACTTTTTTCTCAAAACGTTAATATTACTATTACTGTAGCATAGGCTGCAATCTCATTAAGTACTGAGTTTTAAAGGAAATTCTATCCCCAGATGGAAAACACTCATAGTATGTTCCTCGATTTACTACTTTACCCTAGACACCAGAACACACTTGCCTCGGTTTCTTTAACTTTTATTTGTTTATATAACCATGGAGCCTGGGAGGAAAAAGAAAAAGCGGATATGAGCCAAAATATGGAAATTTTCTTATACAGAACATTGTTGATTTCCTTCCTTTGACAGAAAACATGAGGGTATAGCATCTGCCTTCCAGTGATCCAGTGATTGACGCCTGTAGATAATAGGGAAGTGGCATACTCTGCTCTGCAGTTGGAGCACATGTGAAGCAAGGTCCTGCAAGACCTGAAGATCTTGTCTTCTGAGAACAGTGAAACTGATCTCTTAGACTTCATGGGAGAGTTCCTGAATAAACAGAACACAGACTCTCTGGAATACCATCTTGGCAGTCAGAAGGAATTACAGAGCTGGCCCAAAGGGAATCTGTTTGAAAAGCCTGCTAAAGTATCAGGTGAAGACTTAACGTCTGAAGGCAACACAGCAAGCCTCCCCATTGTAGTAGGTTCCAGTCAGCTATGAAAGACTGCTATCACTTTTATCTAGTATCCTAATCCTCATTGTTGTGCTTAAAAACATATCTGCTTTGCAGGGGCGCCTGGGTGGCTCAGTCGGTTGTCTGCCTTTGGCTCAGATCATGATCCCTGGGGCCTGGGATTGAGCCTTGCATAGAGCTCTCTGCTCAGTGGGGAGCCTGTTTCTCCCTCTGCCTATTGTGATCTCTGTCAAATAAAATCTTTAAAAAATTTTTTAAAAATAAATCTGCTTTGCATTATAACAATAGCAGCAAAAAGGTCAATTAGCTTCGCTTCTCTAATTGCACTTTAAGATTAGAAAAGGAAAGGACAAAGATAAGCTCCTTTTCTTCCATCCCTCAATTCTAAGGGGAAGCTTGTGGGGGGAGGGAAGAAGGAGGGGCAGATGGTAGAATAATGGAGAATGAAGGGACACAATAAAACCTGAGGCCTGGGGCGCCTTGGTGGCTCAGTTGGTTAAGCGACTGCCTTCGGCTCAGGTCATGATCCTGGAGTCCCGGGATCGAGTCCCGCATCGGGCTCCCTGCTCGGCGGGGAGCCTGCTTCTCCCTCTGACCCTCCCCCCTCTCATGTGCTCTCTCTCTCATTCTCTCTCTCAAATAAATAAATAAAATCTTTAAAAAAAAACAAAAACAAAAAAAACACCTGAGGCCTGGTGGTTCACAATGGCTGCCACTGCCGACATATCCCTTCTACCCAGGTAAGACTACTTCTCTAACTTCTGGTGTAGAAACGATGGCAGCCCTCAACACTGAGTGTTACTCCAGTGGGTGCCACATACCGTTTGCCCACGATAGTCATAGTCTATACCTGTTACCCTTATGAAATTATTAATACTTCCTTTTTCTCTCAAAATCATTACAGGTTGAATGAAAAATTGTATGATCATCCTAGATACAAATCATTTCCATTCCAAAGGAAAGAATGGGATAAATTTGAATATTCTGCACTCAGTTCACAGATAGAAGAAAGGGAGCATCGACTTTGCTGCCATTTTCTTGTTTGCAAAGCTCAAACTGATTAGCTTCTTTTTCTTTTGAAGTGTCTGGTGTATGATTAATC